TGAACATCCCAAATCCAGCAGAAGGGGGTGGAACAAGATGGTCCTTGAGGTTCCTTCCAGGGTCAGGACACCCCAACTGCCCAAATCCAGCATTTCCCTGTTACTCAACATCCCAAATTCAGCAGAAGGGGCTTGGAACAAGATGGTCCTTGAGGTCCCTTCCAGGGTCAGGACACCCCAACTGCTCAACCCCAGCATTTCCCCAGAGGTGAACATCCCAAATCCAGCAGAAAGGGGCTGGAACAAGATGGTCCTTGAAGTCCCTTCCAGGACCAACTGATAAACAGAGATCTCTGCCCCCTCTCCCCTTGATCCTTCATTTTGTTTGCAGCATGATGAAAGCCAAGCTTTACAAATGACTCAAAATTTAGACTAAACAAGGCACAATCCAGCAGCACTTGCTTTAGGGAAAAAATAATAAATAAATGAGAACAGTTCTCCTACTCTCTGCCCTCAAAAAAAATCTGGTATTTGAAAATCTATTTTGTTTATGAGTGGGAATGTGGAGCAGTACCACAAAGGGCTGTGTCAGGATAATTGGATGAACAGAAACTTCTGTTTTCTGCAGGGTTTTGCTGCTCACACACATCCAGTAAGATCTAATGGAATACTCAGCATCCTGTCAAACTTGAGAGATGACATTACAAAGCTTTTTTCCAGCCAGCAGCCAGTCAGGGGGTGTTTCTTTTAAACCGTTTCATGTCGCTCTAAATGAGAATTTAAGAACACGTTTATTTATTTTTAATTTTGGAAAAACAGCATTTCAGCAAAAAAAAAAAAAAAAATCTATTCCAGGGATCTCTGTTCTCCTTGCTGAGGGATTGCTGTTAAATACAGACCTGCCTGAGTCTCTCTGGGATGTTTTACCAGCACCTGGGATATTAAAAAATAGACAGTTTGTTCACAGGGGTTCTTACATTGGAGGTGAAGAAAATCACCCTCAAATCAACTGTTTGGAAAATCTTCTTTTAGCCAACCTATGGAATGGCTCTGCAGGAATCAGAACCTGGAGTTCATCCCACCCATCTCCTGGAGGGGCAGGACAGGAGGAGAAGGGAACAGGGCAGGGAGAGCAATAAAAGCTGCAATTATGTGTTGGTAACAATCAGCTAAAAAGCAATTTGGGGTCCAACTCCTGCAATAAAACACGTGCAGGGATGGAGAGCAGCAGCCAGAGCATCACCCACAACCTCTGGAATGGCTCTCCAGGAATCAGAACCTGCACAAGCACCAGGATTTTCCCTGTCCCAGCCAGAGCATCACCCACACCCCCCCAGCACCACTCCCAGCTCAGCTTCTCCATCCCTGCACTTCCAGCTGCCAGGGGGGGACAGGGGACACCTGGCTGTGCTGCCACTTTGCCTGATGAGGCACTTCCAGATCATTCCTTACCCCTGCAGGTCCAGGGCACCTTTGGGAGATGGCAGAAGGGGAGGGAGGGAGGAAGGAAAAAATCCCTGTGCATGGATTTCTTTCCAGTCCCATTTTGCTCTCACGGGGCGTGGGGGAAAAAGTGTTGGCAGGAGCACAAGATTCACCCTCAATAAAAGGGAGAAAGGGAAAAATATTTAACTCTGCCAGGAAGGGAAAAATGTGCTGCATTAAACAAAAAAAAACCCCTCTGCACAGGCTGATTGTATCTAACCTTGCTTTTACATTCACCCAGTGATTTCCAAACGAGGCCACGGATTAGGAGGAGCTGAGAGGGAACAGCCAAGGAAGGTGTTCTGCAAAAACTGAGGATCAATTTAAACAAGCTGGAAGGGAGATTGTTTTCTTATAGATTATCAGCAAAGCCAGACCCCGTCTCTGAGGACAGGGGGTGTTAATAAATGATGTATTTACACGTCTTCGGAAAACAGACAACAAATTAAATTCCCCCTCACCCTTCCTCTCCCTTCTCCTGGGCTCTGATTCATCTCTCCTGATGAAAAATGCAGTGGAGCTGCTCTCCTTTATATGGCATTATGTTCTGGAGGTGTTTCTCTCCACTGTGATATTTAGGTCCAAGCCAAGGTGATGCTCCCAAGGAAAGGGTCACACTGAGTTTTTTGGGGATTTTTCTTGGGCACCTCGTGTTCTCCAGCCACAGACCCCACTGGCTACAAACATCCTGCCCTCAGACCTGGCAGGTTTTTGGTCTTTTTTTATCCTGATCCAGAAATCTTTTTTACCCCAATCCTGAAATCTTTTTTGACCATCCCAGTCCCGAAATCTTTTTTACCCAATCCAGAAATCTTTTTTTTACCCCAGTGCTGAAATCTTTGAAAATAAAGCACTGAAACCTCCCCTAACAGACAAGAGGAACCTGACAAACTCCAAAAAACCAGCAAGGGGGGGAAAAATGAGTGGCAGGTCCCCCCTTCATTGCCCTGCTTCAATGCCACCTCAAGAACAGTTGTTCAGTTCATCCTTTAAACACTCAACACACAAGAGAAGAGTTCATCCTGTCTGACAACCCAGGGTGTGAGATTAGAACCCCCTGACATTGATCTAATCAGGGGAAAATTATAACATTAATCTTTACTTTTCTATTTAAGGAGAAAGGATGACTCAGGCAGGTGTTTTAATAGAAAGCAGAGGGAAAATGTGCTACCAAAAGGCATCAGCTGCACAGGGAAAACAAAAGGGGGGTGGTTTCCTTGTAATTTGAAGGAATTTATATATTCAAGGAAAGCCAAGAGGGTTAAATAACAGTGGTGGTTCAGAAAGCAAGGTTAAACAAGACTGCTAAGGCTGAACAGCCAGGGAACATCCGCACTGGGCAGGTTTATCCAAGGAAAATGGTGCAAACAGCTCCAAGGAATTCCCCCCAACCTGCCCCGTTCTGGTGACCCCCTGGTCCCCCCCAGGAGCTGCCCCCAACCCCAGGGCAGCAGCTTCCCTGTGCTTGAGCCCCCTGCCAGAACATCTCCTGGCCCTCACCAGCACCTGGGATCCCAACCCACAGATCTTTTTTACCCCAATCCAGAAATCTTTTTTACCCCAGTCCTGAAATCTTTTTACACCCCTGTACTGAAATCATTTTACATCCCAGTCCTGAAATCTTTTTTACCCCAATCCCAAAATATTTTTTACCCCAATCCAGAAATCTTTTTACACCCCCATCCTGAAATCATTTTACATCCCAGTCCTGAAATCTTTTTTACCCCAATCCTGAAATCTTTTTTACCCCAGTCCCAAAATCTTTTTACATGCCAGTCCTAAAATCTTTTTTACCCCAATCCTGAAATCTTTTTACCCCAATCCTGACATCTCTTTACCCCAATCCTGACATCTCTTTACCCCAGTCCTGACATCTCTTTACCCCAGTCCTGACATCTCTTTACCCCAGTCCTGAAATCTTTTTTTACCCCAGTCCCAAAATCCTTTTACATCCCAGTCCTAAAATCTTTTTATCCCAGTCCTGAAATCTTTTTTTACCCCAATCCCGAATCTTTTTTACTCCAGTCCCAAAATCCTTTTACATCCCAGCCCCGGAATCTTTCCAAGGCCAGGCTGGAGCCACCTGGGATGTGTCCCTGCCCGTGGCAGGGGGTGGAATTAAATACTCTTTAAGTTCCCTCCCAACCCAAACCATGGTGGGATTCCATCAAACCCACACTTCCAGGGATTCCAGCTGGAAAATTAACACCAGCAGGACACAGGGGGCTCCTGGAGCTGTGGATTCCCAGGAAAGCAGCGTGGGTGGGAGGGTGAGAGCAGCAGGAATATTTACCTTGGTACTGGGCACTGAAGCCCTTCTGCCTGTGGTTGCCATCAGAGGTGAAGTGGAGCCTCAGCCAGTTCTTGCTGCTGATCACAGGGGCAGGTAAATTCATCCCAGTGAACCTGCAAGGGAAGAAAAAACCCCATTAGTGGGTGGGAATCACCCCCAACACCCACCTTTCCAGGTGTTCCTGCTCCCACACTGATCCAGGAAAGCACCTCCACCCCCCAGGGGTTTCCAGCCACAGGATTCCCCCAAGTTCATTCAGCTCCTGTCCTTCTGTTGGCTTAAAGCACTCCAAAAAAAGTCTGTTTGTCTCAACTGAGGAGCAGGAAGGAGTGCAAGAACCATTGGATTTTTTCCCTCTAAATTGCCAGAGGATTTTGGGACTGGGGTCAAAAAGATTTCTGGACTGGGGTAAAAAAGGTTTCTGGATTGGGGTAAAAAAGATTTGGGGACTGGGATAAAAAGATTTTAGGACTGGGATGTAAAAAGATTTCGGGACTGGGGTAAAAAAGATTTCTGGATTGGGGTAAAAAAGATTTGTGGACTGGGGTAAAAAAGGTTTTAGGACTGGGGTAAAAATGTTTTCTGGATTGGGGTAAAAAGATTTTAGGACTGGGATGTAAAGAGATTTTAGGACTGGGATAAAAAAGGTTTCAGGACTGGGGTAAAAAAAGATTTTGGGATTGGGGTAAAAAAAGATTTGGGGACTGGGATAAAAAGATTTTAGGATTGGGATGTAAAAAGATTTTAGGACTAGGGTAAAAAAGGTTTCAGGACTGGGGTAGAAAGATTTCTGGATTGGGGTAAGTTGCCAGCAAGGAGAAGTGATTTATGATCCACCCCGACCTGGGCAAGATCAGAGCCATCAAACAAGGTGGAAAACTCCCCAGCCCTTCAGGTCTCTTTATATTTGTATTTTCTCTTAAAACACGCTGCTGTTTTTGCTTTAGTGAACTCCAGCTCATCCTTCCTGCCTGAGTTGTCTTTGTCTGGGACAACATTCCAGTCACAGCCCTTGGATTGAGTCACATAAAGGGGACATTGCCCTTGGCAATTCCAAAATATTTTGGAATCCTGTTCTTAATGAAAGCCAATTAATTATTTTAATCATCAACCATCATTTATTTAAAAACTGTTGGCATCCCAATGTTTTGTTTTTTTAGATGAAGGCAAAAGGATCCTGGAAATGTCCATCCCCAGGTGTAACTCAGGTTTGGTGACACATATTTAACACCCAGGAGGCATTTTAAGAGTCCAACCCGCCCTTCCAGAGGTGAATTCTGGCAAAGAGGGGGATCCAGGGTGTCCCTGGGCAGAGGATTTATTAATGAAAACTCTGTTAATGAACTTGCAGGGCTGATTATTGTGCATAACTAATGCATCTCTGCCACCTACAGCACAGACTAAACCCTGGATTATCCCCTGGCTGAGTCCTGCACAATGAGCAGCGTGACTGGGAACATCCTTTACGCTCCAAAAACCGCTTTTAAGATCGTTCCCCATCATTAATATATCGATTATTTCCATTTCTCAGCCCTTTCAGAAGCACGAGGTGTTCCAGAAATGGATTCTCTGTGGCTTTTTGCCACCCTTGGGATTGAATTGGAAACTTTTTTCAAATAACTAAACTTCAAACCAACAGATTTGGGGCCCGGATCAAACAGGGGGAGGCCAAAAAACCCAATTGTGAGGAAGTCACCGTGGCTGGTTGTTATGACAACGGGCTTAAAACTTCATCCTCTCAGCCCCCAAAGGCCATTTTATTATTCATTCTGAATCAATAGTCAAAACTTCTCATCAACAATCTCTGGGTATGCAGAGCCAAATTTTAACTTTCATAACTGTGGAGAGACAAGTAATTCAATGGAGTGATATTAAAAAAAAATGAGAGAACAATAAACTAAACCTGCCTGGATGAGGCAGAATTTCTCCTGCCCTACATTCCTAGTTTTGTTTTGTTGTTTTTTTTTAATATCCACATCCTTGAGAGGTGGATTCAGATTAGTAACCCACCCTTTTACCTTGGATTCCTCAGGATTCCAGGCTTTTCTTTTGACTTTCTTGCTTTTTAATGTCCATTTACAACCTGAAAAACCCTTCCAGCCTCTCTGTGTCCATCTGTCCCCTTGTCCCCTTCTTTGCTGCCCATCCCCAGGACACAGAACCCTCAGCCTGGTTTGGGCTGGAAGGGATTTAAAGCTCTTTATCTCACTCTTGATGATCTTGGAGGTCTTTTCCAACCTCATTGACCAGCAGGAGTTCAGAATTCTGCTCTTTCCCCTCCAACAGTTGGACTTTGCTGTCACCCCCTTGCCCCCAAGATGCAAAAATGCTTCTCTCAAACAACTGATTTTATCCCAAATATTTCCCAGCCCTGTTTTTAATCAGAGCACTGAGGTGTTGAGGGTTTTTTTTTTGAAGCCTCCACATTAAACACAATTCCTTTTATTGCATAACACAGAGAGGTTAATGCCATCAAAACTCCTCTTTTGAGGGAAAGCACTGAAGTGTGGCTTTCACAACTATTTTTCTTTATTTCTTTCCTTGCTCTTGTGTTTCCCAGGGAAGGCAGGCATTAAATATTTATCCCATTCACTCAGCCATCCCTCCCCTGGCACAATTAGTATTGCTGTACATGGATGGCACTGATTGCTCTGCATTCACTCACCATTATCTATTTACAACCCCAATTCCTGCTTTAATTTGTGGAGAGCAAGAAAGGGGGGGGTGAAAAAAAATCAATACAATGTCACAAAGTGAGGTGGAAGCACTGGGAGAGAGGAAGGAGGTGTTTGCAGGCACAAGATCCAATTTGAACCACCCTGGAATCTGATGATTTGGCTGTGCTGCTTCTCCAAGGACCCAAATCCAAGGAGCAGTTCCTGGGGTGGATGCAGGAGAGCAGGGAGTCAACTCAAGGTGGGAATTCCACCCGAAATCCCGTTGTGGGATGGATTTAAGCACAGAGATGATGGATTTAAGCACAAACCTGGAGGTATTTCTGTGCCCTGGAGCTGCCCAGAGCTGGGCTGCAGCTGAACACCAGCCCCAGTGAGCCCAAATAAGAGATAAAGATCATCACTAGGCATGTTTGATCATTTTTCCCCCCAAACTAATCTTGTTTAATTTAATCCCTCTGTTCACTGAATCTCTCTCTCAACATAATAAGAGAGAAGGATCATCACTGGGCACATTTGATCATTTTTCCCCCCCTGAACTAATCTTTTTGTTTAATTTAATCCCTCCATTCACTGAATCTCAACATCCCTGTTGCACAGGGATCTCCAACAGCTGCTCATCACTCCCACCAGCCAGGCTTGGACCCACCCTGGAGCCTCCAACACACATTTAGGGTGAACCTCTCTGATCCTGCAGCTTCCCAGAGCTCAGCTCCTCCTTCTCCAGCTCTGGCTGAAAAGGAGACCCTCTGCAGTCAGTGGGAGAGGAGGAGGAGGAGAGATTCCAGGAGAGGGGAGTCACAGAAAGCCCCCTGATCCCTGTCAGGGCCAGTCAGCAGGAGATTTGAGGAGAAAATCACTCCTGGAGCCTTGGCAGAACAAGAAAACCAGGATCACCCCACCCCTGGAAGTGCCCAAAGCCGGGTTGGGTGGGTTTGGAGCAACCTGGGCTGGTGGAAGGTGATCTTCACTGGATGATCTTCAACTCCCCAGCCCATCCCTGACTCCAGGAGACACAACCTGGAGCTGGAGCTGCTCTGCCAGAGCCTCCCCTTCCCTCCCAGCCTTTATTGCCCTGAACCAGCCCAGCTATTCAGAGATTAATTTCCCTTTCAGTGCATCTCAGGGACATATTGCAGCAGCTCTTTATATCTCCACCTCTTATTATTCACTTCACCTGTATTTTTAAACTTTTCATCCAAACCTCTCCTCGAATTACCAGGAGAGCTGTACCATTAATTCTGAACATCTTATTTGAGCTTGTCTGCTCTCTTTAAACAAAATATACTTAAGCACCTCTAGACCTCATTTTTCGGTCGCCAGAGACATCTCATCACAATGGACTTTTACAAGGGAAATGAATAATTAGATTAAAGTTATTGTTATCCCTTTAATGCTGTGGGGATGGAAAGAACACACCTGCATTTTAACTCTGTGCAAGAGGCTGGAATTTACTCAGGAAATGCAGGGAGAGATCCCACATCACCCCTTGGAAAGGCTTGGAAAGCATCAAGGGGTGATGTCTTAATCCCCAGGGATTCCTGACTGTGGTGAATCCTGGAAAAACCACTGGGAACAATGATAAGGAGCTTCCAAGTCCCTTCCTTCAGCACCACATTTTTAAGACCCCCCCCAGTGGGGCTCCTGGGACAGGTTTCCACAAGCTGGTTCCTGCAGGAGGAGGAGGAGAAGGGAACTCCTCACCTCCCAAAAGGAATAAAAATGTCCTTAAGAGGATGAGTTATCTTAGAAATGCAAGTGTGGAAAACTTCTTGGCATGTTCATCCCACCACCCTGCAGATCCCAGGGAATGGGATGAAGGCAGAGCAGCTCCTGATCCCTGGGAATGAGCTCCAAGTCCCTTCCTT